AACGAGGTAGAGAAAGTAAAGCCATATTAATATGCTGAGTTGTAAAAGACTCAAGTCAACAACTTCTGATATTGCCAGTCCTATTCATAACTCGCAATAATTACAGACTACTGGACTATATTGGAATATTTTGCTGAATTCATGCACCTACAATATCTAAATGACAATGGAATACCCTTCTCTGACAAAACTAAACAAAAAAAGGGATACAAATGAAGGGCTGTTTTGTATCTATATATTCAAAATAGCTAGGATAGATACACAGCTACTTTCTCTTATTTAATGAATAGAAATAGTTGTTCTAATGGTGTTTGTGGACAGAATATCATGTCTGCATCTTGTACTATGAATAACCACTAAGAAGACCACAATATGCAATGTATTAATTATTAAAACTGTCCTACTAATCAGTGTTGAAACTGTCTCATTGCTATTTGTTTCTCAATAAAACTATTTAAAAAAATAACAAGAGAATGGATGAATGAACTGTGACACACACACACACACACATACACACATAAAGCGGGATCCTATATACCAAAGAAAATGAAAAACCAAAACATAAAAGAATGTTGGATGTGTGTGATAGTATATGCCTATAAGTTTAGCACTGAAGAAACTAAAGAAGTAGGATTGCTATGAGTTTGAGGCCATCTTGGACTACATAGCAGAACTCAGTGCCCCCCCAAAAAAATTCCAAAACATCAAAGAAAATGAATATAATATAGATATGTACAAAGTTAATATAAACAGCACTTACTCTAAGATTTCATTAATGTGAATGTCAAAAAGAAGTAAAGTTATTTGTTTAACAATGCATACATAAGTGATAAAACAGGGAGAAATAAAGGTAATTATACAAAAGTCAGAACAGTACCTACTGCTGGAAAGGACAAAGGGGCTTATGATTAGGAAAAGATAGGGAGAGAAGGGTGAAATTTTTTGAGATGCTGCAGTGTTCTACTTCTAGATGTGTGGTAGCTACATGTGTGTTTCTATTATAATTATTATTTTTTCTTTGGCAGAACTATGGATTGAACTCAGGCCCTTGCACTTGCCAGGGAAGCACTTATTCCCCTGAGCAATCTCCCCAGCACCTAAGATTATTTGTTAAATCTTGTTTTACTTATAATGGAATTAAAAATTACAAAAAATAACAATAACAGGAAAGACAAAAAAATTAAAAGAATCATCCCTTTACCAACAAAACATGTGCTTGGCATGGGGGGAAAAGCTTGCAATCCTAGTACTCAGGAAGCTAAAGCAAGAGGAATACCATGATTTCTAGGCCAGCCTGGGCTATGTAAGAGAGTTCAAAGCAAGCCTGCATTACATAGCAAGACTATATTAAAACAAAACAACAAATAATTAACCATGTTCATTCCCTTGCTAAGGAGATCAAAGAATCCCATAAAAATGCTCAGAAAAATATGTCTCTTGGGAAAAGAAGGTAACACTGGTTAAATTGTTACAAATTTCTGCTTTCAAGTACTAAATGTAAAACAATAGAGACATATTAAACTTACCCGGTATTCCTGGCTGGCCAGGATTTCCTGCAACACCTTGTATGCCTTTTTCACCTATTGGACCAGGAGGGCCAAAACCAACAGGGCCCATAGGTCCCATATTTCCTGGGAGACCTGGCAAGCCTGGGTTCCCAGGGGGACCTCTTTCACCCTTAAAAGCAATTCCACCCTGAAAAGTGAAATGTTTGACAAAGAAACACATGATTTAACATCTGTAAGTTGGTGTTAATGAAGTAGCAAAACTGTCTGTGGGTTGGTGTTAATGCAAACAGCAAAACAATACAACCATAAGCATATTCTTAAAAGCTATGTAAACTAGTACATGATTATGAAAATTAGTGCAGAGATTTTTCAAAAAAATAAACTAGACATTCAATTTGATCTAACTGTTCCCTCTTTGGAAATCTTCTTGAAAGAGTTAAAAACATCACATTACAGTGCTACCTGTATACCCATATTCGTGGCAGCACAATTCATAATAGTTAAATCTGGAAAGAAGTCTACATGTCCATAAATAGATGAATGAGTAA